AGTAGTTGGACAAAACAGGCATGAACTGGGAGAGCTTACCCATACTTTCGATCCTAATATACAGCTTATTGGAAAATTGGAAAAATACAATAAAAAAATTAAATTAGGTTAGTCAGTTGAATTTAATCAAACTTGTTTGCCAATAGAGAAATCAATTTACAATGAAAATTTATAAAAATATGCTTTAATCACTAGAACATCCACGAAAAATTTATTTCCAACTTTTCACGGTGTTTCACATTCCTTGGCAGATCAAAATGGGATGTTTTATAACAAAATTGATGGAGACATGGACAAAACTACAAAGAAACTAAATGAAATCGGCTACTATATACAGCCAAAACATATTAAAAAAAAAGAATTTATATTCAAAATTCTCATTTAATTATATAATTAAATTAAAAGCATTTGTTATCCCAATATTCGCTTGAAGATGAAACAGAACTAATGCTTTTAATTGAATTATATAATTAAATTTGAAGTTTTTAGCTTCGGTTTTTGAAACATGGTAAATCCTGTGTAGCGAAGGAACCATATTTTTAAATCAGTTAACTTATAATATTTATGCTCTGTAAATTCACATTGAGCAATATTTTGTAAAAATAAAAATATCAATAAGAACACCGAATTATATATCTTACTGTTCTTTTCTTTTACTATAATATATATATATATATATATATATATATATGTCATCCACAGACAGACTGTTTCGCTGTATCACAGCTCATCAGTGTGACTAGACGTCTGCGTGCCTCTAGCTAGGATCGAAACCCGGCTGAATTGATGTCCTATATATATATATATATATATATATATATATATATATATATATGATTATTAATTTAAAAATATGATTTCAACTCGCGACATAAGAGGTCTCATGTTTCAAAACAAGAGCCGAAAACTTCAATATAATTATTTGAATTAAATTGAATTAAAGTAAGCTCTGTTCCATCTTCAAGCGAACTTTTTTGGGAATAACTTATTTCTGAAATTTACGTGTTTTAATAGCATATTCATAATTGAAATCAAAATTTCCATGGTAACAGCCAGGGCGAATTGTTCAAAATAGTTAGGCGTGTGTTGGGTGTTAATAATAAGTATCAGTATAGAGTTACTTTCATAGATGTCAAGTCAGGGTAAGGTGGGGGTGTCTAAATTTGAAACGGAAGATGTTTTCGCCTCGTCTGCTCACGTGTCTTTGGAGATTTATTTATTTTTTTATTTTAGTTTTTATGAACGGGATTTGTGCATATAAAAACTGCCGTAACATTTGTTTTTTGACGACTTCATAAAGGGTTATCAATTTTGTAGGGTATTTAAACTATTTATTTGGGCTATAGATTATAAAAGTTATTTTGTAAGCTTGTTTTTAGCTAGTTCATTCAGTGCGTAAATTTGATGATGTCGGCAAAACACCGTTAACTCATGTCTGTTGTTTAATAGATTTTTATTAATTAGAAACTTAATAATGTGCAGTTTCTCAATGGGGGCACAAAGGACATGGGTCATCCCAAGTTTTACAAGTTCTAGTCCTATTTATAATTTTCCATTTTACTTTAGGTGTCCTATTTATTTCCTTCAGATGCCAAAAATATTTGGATAGGGAAGTCTGGTTTCTTTTATTTATATTGTTGAAAGAGCACTTATGTTGCCTCCATCTGGCTTTAAAATCATTCTTCGTGCACCCAATGTATATCATATTAGTATTAGGACTCTCGGTGGATTATATACCACAGATTTGACGCAGCATTTATTTTCTAATGAGCAGTCTTCTGGGTTTCTACAATCACATAATTTTTTACTGTTATTGTCTAATTTGAGTGTAGGGTTTTTATTAATACTATTTAGGCATGGGGGTTTGTTCAATATTTTATTATTGTGTTTTTTTATTATACCTTCTAGATTATCAGTGCAGCTGTAATTCAATTTTAGGGTGTTCTTATCAAATATATTACTAAGCCTACTGTTGGTGGGGAAGTGCTTATCAATTAGAGCTAAGAATTTTTGTTCTAGTTTAATACTAACCATTTGGTTGAACGGAGGGGTGTACCAAATGATTTTTCTTTTCCTGTTTTTTTCTCTTGGCCAGTGCAATTGTCTCTATAGTTAATGTTGCATTTTTATAACCACTGTTTTTTAGGGCAGTGTTATAGAAGCCATTGTGTTGTTGGAATATTTCCTTGTTAGCGGAGTTAATCCTAATTCTATTTTCTATTGATGAGGGTATATGTTTACTTATGGATGGAGGGTGGTTAGACTTCGGGTGTATATATAAGGGGTTAGAATTTGGTTTTCTATAAGGTTGGTATGTGTTGCTTGGTAAGTCTAGAGTTACGTCGAGGAAGTTTACCTTTTTCATATGAGAAGTGACTGTTATCTTTAAGTTTAGATTTTTAAATTCACTAAATATAATTTTTCTGATTTTCTCAATCTTAAAACTAGTAGAACTCCTCACTACCATGAGCCCGTCATCTCTATACAGTCCGATGTCCTTAATATCAATTTCGCGGTGTGCCGTTAAGTTGTACAGTATTAAAAGACCAACAAGGTCAGAAGACTCTGCAGAGTCTATTGATCCCATAGTGATGTCAAACAGGTCGTTATTGTTTTTTATCCATTGGTCCCCACTATGAATGAGGACAGATTTTTTTGCGCTGAGGATTATATCTGTTTCTTCCCTTGTCAAGTTCGAATACACAGCAGCAAAGTCCAGTGCAGACGTAATCTGTGTGTGTGTGTGTGTGTGTGTGTGTGTGTGTGTGTGTGTGTGTGTGTGTGTGTGTGTGTGTGTGTGTATGTTGGAATGCCATGCATCTTTAGGGAACAATCAGGTATATGTAATGAAACTTACTTGGATGATTACTAACTGCCTAAATATACCTTACATAATACTGCATGTATACTAATGCATATGCAATCCAAATGTCTACAGTTCCCGCGTGTATAAATCTAAATATCGATTAAATAGAGAAAGTAATGCCATTTCATTAATTTGGTGTCTTCTTTTATATGTGGACTAAGGCCACTTTTACGAAACCTAAAGAATTGTTTTGCATGAATCTAACCGGGCACCGACTCTATTTAAAAATTTAATTGCATGAAATTACAGGATGGTGATTTGTAGGGACTACTAATTGCATATTAATTATTAAAATTCTCAAGAGAGTGGGTTGAATCGTTGAAGATAATTAAAAAGGAAATGTGTTAAAATTTGTTTTGTTTGGGCTTAAAAAATTTGTTCCATCTTTTCTTGTCTCAAATTAGCTTATCAATTATCTTATTGTTTTTTAATTCTTTTTTCAGCAGGTATTATTAAGAAAAAGCTGCCTACAAATTTACCTACCAACAGCCTATGTGACCATACATGGAAAACTGAATTATTTTAGAGAATTAAGCATTCCTCTTGAAAAAAGAGAAATCTTCCTTCTTTGTCTCGGTCTGTCCATCATTCTATTTATTAACCCTTCTCGTCTCGTTCCGAGGTATGTTATTTTATTTAACCTATCTCTTTCCATTCAGCAGTGTTGAATAGTGTCACATTTTTATTAAATGAAGCATTGTCAAGTATAATTACTTTTTGACTGGGATTTCTTTCATCTTCATTTCAGATGATTAGGTTTACATACACTAGTATTATTAGTAGCAGTAATATTATGACTTTTTATTAGATAAAGCTTTATCAAGTATTATTAACTTTTAACCAGGATTTATTTCATCTCAGATATGGCCTCATGTAAATAGAAACATCTAAAACTAAAATGAAAGAAATCTTAGTCAAAAATTAATAATACTTGGCAGCACTTCACTAATTGCATGAAATTACAGAATGGTGATTTGTAGGGACTACTAATTGGATAACAATTATTAAAATTCTCAGGAGAGTAGGTTGAATGGAGAGGAAAAAAATGAAGCTGCCTAAAAAATATTATTTAAAATAATAAAACATAATTTGTAACACTTCCAAGGAAAATCCAACCCAAAATTAATGAGACAAGATTCAGTAAAATTGAGCAAGACGAATGTACACAACCCTATACATTTCCGCCGGTAAGAAGACATCATTAATGTGTTGTCCGAATTTCTTCGTCCCTGAGAAATTGGATCCGAATGTTTGTTTATATTATATTATCTATCCAAAACATGTGTGCCCTTACACATTATTCTAGACAAAGAAAAATTTTAATTCAATTTCGAAGGTTTGTTTACATTATTCTATCTGTCTAAAACGTGAGCGATCACCGAAAAGAATTATTCAAATTATTCTAGACAAATATGAAAACATCTGTTTTTTGTTAAGTACTAAGATTAAGATTTGTTTATGTTGTTCGCCCAGGAACACAATTATATTAACAGAAATATATAGCAATGCCTGCTAAGATTAAGACTTCTTCGGGGGTTTGGAATGTCGAACTGAACCCTTTATTTCGCCCACTGGGGTAAACTGTTCTGGTTACACCTTCCATGTTTAATGGATGTCAGTTATCAGTTATCTCCTGTTAATTCCCCTCTCAAGGACACATGGCACAGTGGATAAAGTCATTAGTGACAGGACCCAGTGTGAGTTCAATACCCGGTTGAGGCAGTGGAGAACTTGGAGATGTGAATTAAGAGGAGATAACTGATAACTGACATCCATTAAACATGGCACGTGGAACTCGAACAGTCTACTCCAGTGAGCAAAATAAAAGGTTCAGTTCGACATTCCAACCACCTGAAAAAGGCCGCAGCGTACAACGGTCGAAATGATAAATATGGCGACAAAGATGAGGCAATAGTCCGAATAATGTTAATTTCTGTTCTTTTATCGTTCTCGTTGCTTAATAATGCTGTTCTTATATTCTACATATTCAGTAACCCCGTGAGTGTTAGTGGCTTTCTGGCCTTGGTTAGACTGCAGTGAATTTAAATCGGTTAATTTAGTCAAATTCTTTTCTTTATCCACTATTTTATATCTCTTCTATGTACACTTTTACACATTTAATTCATCTCAGATCTCATAGATAGATAGATAGATAGATAGATAGATCTACTCTGAGATAGATGGATAGATATATAAATAGATAGATAGGAATACTCTGAGATAGATAGATAGATAGATAGATAGATAGATAGATAGATAGATAGATACGAACAGGCAGTGATAGATAGATAGATAGATAGATAGATAGATAGATAGGACTACTCTGAGATAGATGGATAGATAGATAAATATATAGATAGGAATACTCTGAGATAGATAGATAGATAGATAGATAGATAGGACTACTCTGAGATAGATGGATAGATAGATAAATAGATAGATAGGAATACTCTGAGATAGATAGATAGATAGATAGATAGATAGATAGATAGATATCTGCACTGTGCTATGTAAGAAAATCCTAGAATACATTGACTGCATTCCCTACTTCTTTCTTTTTATGTACCGTGTCCCTTCAGGACGTAGGCGATCATGGCTCTCCACATCACCGCACCCTTCGTAGCTCTCAATAAATTTCGTCCCTCTGCGACCTCCCCGAGACTACGTTCTGTCATCCGCTTGCTTAAGCCCGCCAGGTACGTTATCCATTGCTTTCCCTTATCCCTCTTTGCCTCTATTCGATCTATGAGTATCAGATTCTCTAGGCCTTCCTTTCTCATTACGTATCCCAGAAATTCCATCTGTCTTTTACTTATGTTAAGTATAAGCTTTCTCCTTGTTTGCATCGTCACCAAAACCTCGTCGTTGCTCCGTCTATGGTATCATTAGCATCCTTCTCTAGAACTATACCTCGGTTACCTCGGGTCTCTTCTTCATCTTTGAGGAGACCGTCCAACATTAGCTGCCATATAGGAGGAGCGATGTCACGTAGCAGCTCAGCATTCCCTACAGAAGGATAAAACCACAAAAAAGACCCCATTCCTGGTTCTTCCCTGAATGACTTCTTAAACATTTGTAGCTTATTTAAAGTCAGAAAATATCTTTACTAATTAACCGATAGCCGGCAGAAAGAAGAGGTTGATTAATAACATTCCCAGGAGAAAATTGCGCTTAAGTGAATCTAACTGGAAGATATTTTATAGGTGGTTTTTTTTTCTTGAGAATATTATTTTTTTCTCTTTCCTTCTCCGAGGTTGTTTACCAACAAAGACTTAAGTGTTGGATCTACCCTGCGATTTAACCAATAAGAAAAAGAGAAAGAGTCATATCGTTTGTAAGGTTGTTCGTGAGAATAATGAACACAACGACCCCAGGAGGGATTTGCACTCGACACGCTGATTCTACATTGAATTACGAATACATCCATACGACCACACATCTAGACACCCTCGCACGCACAAATAAAAACTTCTAAAACTTATCTTCCCGTCTTCAAGATATATATATATATATATATATATATATATATATATATATATCTAGAGAGAGAGAGAGAGAGAGAGAGAGATATAGATAGATATGAACAGGCAGTGATAGATAGATAGATAGATAGATAGATACGAACAGCCAGTGATAGATAGATAGATAGATAGATACGAACAGCCAGTGATAGATAGATAGATAGATAGATAGATAGATAGATACGATAGATAGTGATAGATAGATAGATAGATGATAGATACAAACAGATAGATAGATAGATAACATAGATGATAGATAGATAGATAGATAGATAGATGAATGATAGATACGAACAGCCAGTGATTGATAGATAGATAGATAGATACAAACAGCCAGTGATAGATAGATAGATAGATAGATAGATAGATAGATAGATAGATACGAACAGCCAGTGATAGATAGATAGATAGATAGATAGATAGATAGATAGATAGATAGATACGAACAGCCAGTGATAGATAGATAGATACAAACAGCCAGTGATAGATAGATAGATAGATAGATAGATAGATAGATAGATACGAACAGCCAGTGATTGATAGATAGATAGATACAAACAGCCAGTGATAGATAGATGGATAGATAGATAGATAGATAGATAGATACGAACAGCCAGTGATAGATAGATGATAGATAGATAGATAGATAGATAGATAGATAGATACGAACAGCCAGTGATAGATAGATAGATACAAACAGCCAGTGATAGATAGATAGATAGAGAGAGAGAGAGAGAGAGAGAGAGATACGAACAGCCAGTGATAGATAGATAGATAGATAGATAGATAGATACGAACATATTTCTCTTAGAAAGAAAAGAAAGCCTTTTAGTTATTATTTTCCTTTTGTCTATAGCAAACATCCGTGCATTACATGTCAAAAGACTTGTGTTGAAAAAGAAGAAGAAAAAGGCCTAAAACGAACGGCCGACCAGGACATATCAACGCCTCAGAGGGGCGAAACTTCTTTTGTTGAACAGGCAATCTGGATAGTCACTAATCATCTGTTTTGTGTCGGAAAACTTGCCTTGAGCAGGGTTACAGTTGTCGCCTGATTAACTGAATCGAATAGAGAAATGTCAACGTAATTAATACATGGCCTTTTTTGATCACCAGGCACGTATATTTCTGGTGCGTTTCGTATGTTTTATATCAGATATATATTTGATAGAAAGAAAAAAATACATCATCCTCACGATAATTATTTTGTAACTAGTTTCAGTCTATAGTGTTAGTGATTTCTATCATCACACTCTCGTCAGTTAAACTGTTTTCATTACTACTTGCATATAAATTGACGGGCAAAAGTTGTGGAAAAACTACATAAAATGCTTATTTATATTATTTACATTATTCGGACTGTTATCATCATCTTCATTGCCATATTCACAACGTTTCGGCCGTTGTACGCTCCGGCCTTTATGTCTATGTCTCTCTATGTATCTGTCTATATCTCTGAGATGAGGTATTATGAGTATTTGCATTATTTACATTATTCGGACTGTTATCCTCATCTTCATTGCCATATTCACAACGTTTCGGCCGTTGTACGCTCCGGCCTTTATGTCTATGTCTCTCTATATCTCTGTCTGTATCTCTGAGATGAGGTATCATGATTACTTACATTATTTACATTATTCGGACTGTTATCATCATCTTCATTGCCATATTCACAACGTTTCGGCCGTTTACAGCGCGGCCTTCGTCAGGGGATTGGAATTTCGAACCGAAACCTTTATTTCGTCTACTGGGGTAATTTGTTCTAGTTCCACGTGCCATGCCTCTTCCGGATGTCTAAGTTATTTCCCTTTAACTCAGCTCTCCAAGTTTTTGGTTCACCACCGCTGTAGTCTGGTATTGAACTCAAAATTCTTTGGGTCTAGTCACTGGATCCAACCAACGTCTTTATCCGCTGAGTTTGATACGAACGTGCGAAGACCAGACAAGGCGAACACATTCCGCTATCCGAATGCGTCTTTGGATTTTAGTGACACATTTTCCTTCCTAGATATTCAAAATTTTGCGTTTAATTTCGGTATCTGTAATTTCTAATTCGCATGCCGGGCTGTTTCATTCGGTAACATCTCTTCTTACAATTAATGCTTATTTCGTTATTCTCACTTTCCTTTACTACATTTTATAAGAGTCACAAACTTTTCTGGTTGTGCTTTCTATTAACACTGTCTCATCTGCATATCCACTGTTATTAAGATTGTGGCCGCCAATAATGGATCCGTGTAGAACTTCGAATTGTCTCAGTATTTCTTAACTTTTTATTCATTCGTTTTTCAATATCTTATTATTCCTGTTTTTTTTTTTTTTGTTGTTGTTTTTGTTTTTTATCGCAGCGCTGGTCCGATTCAATTTCCATGACGTCTTCTAACGTACAATTCTCAAACGATCAATTTTTCGACTTCTATTACTGACACTGAGCGACCCATTACTACCAGCCTCATAGACGCGTCATCTGCGATTAAATCTGGCTTTTTCTGGTGATGAGGGCGGTTAGTCATCCCGCAGGATTCAAATAAGTTCTACTGTCTAGCTACTATCTTCACTGAAAACGGTGACGGCCTGACCATACGGCAAATTCCACTATGTCACATGTTGCATGTGGCACTCGTAAAGAGGACGGACATACGTTATTTATTTAAATCAATTAAAACAGAATATTACTGGAATAAAATCGACCTGTTTCCCCCTTATTTTATCAAATATAATTAACGTCTAAAAATAAATGTCTTTTTTTTACCTCTCACATCGTTCACAGATTTCAAGCGACGGAAGATTATTTTGGGTAGAACGAAGTGGAGCTCTCATAAAAAGGAAACGGTTGATTTACGACCAGAAAGCAAATGTAAAGAATTTGCAAGAGTAATAGAAAGTAGAAAAGTAAAGAATGGTGGACAATAAAAATTAATTCTGATTAATTTTATCACTGGTCCGCGTATCAAAAGAATTAATTTTCTTTGAAAATTAATGTGATTCGTATATTCACCAAAGAAAGTGTTCAGTATAACAACTTGTTTCATTAAAAACCGCTTTGCTGGTTACTTAATCAAGATTTCTAAATTGTCAATTAAATAATGGGTCAATGCATAAAGTTCGTCATATTGTAAAAGAGGCTTTTCACAACTTTTTATCTTTGGCATTTGTGATTTTAATCAAGAGCCAAGCCGCCTTTCCGATGACTTTTATTAAATTAATCCGCAGCCTTTTTTGCTTGAGCCAAATTATTTATCGAAGAAGAAGAAAATCGGGAAAAGTAGAAAATAAAATTATATCCGACAAAATAGTGAAAAAAAAATTAATAGAAACGAAATGGGAAAACGTAGACAACAAGATAAAACTTAACAAAGAGAGTAAAATAAAGGAGGAGAAAAAAGCGAAGAAATATAAGGGAAGGGTGAAAAAAAAAAAAAAGAAGAGGAAAAATGTGGAAAGGAAGAAAAAGAAGTGAAGAAAAAAAGAAAGAAGAGAATAAAAGAAAGGAACAGAAAATGAAGAGAAAAAAGGAAATAAAAAAAGCAATAAAAGAGAGAATAAAAGGAGAAATAAAATAAAGAATACTAAAAGAAACATGAGAAAATGAAACATGAGAAAAGAAGAAAGAGATGAAGAAAAAAGAAGAAAAAACTAGACGTTATGAAAAAAGAGAATAATTAAACGAAACAAAAACGAAAAAAAACTAAGAAAATTAATTGAACGAAAAAAAGATGATGAAGAAGAAGAAGAAAAATAAAAGCCAAAAATTAGTAAAAAGAAGAAATAGAAACAAAACCTAAAAAATCTAGACAAGAAGACGAAAATTAACAAAGAAAAAAAAGTAAAATAAACTAAGAATGGAAAGAAAAACGCGAACAAAAAGGAGGAAAAGGATAAAAGGATCGAAAAGAAAAACAAAGGAAGAAAAGAAAGAAAAAGAAGCAAAAAATAAAAGAAAAAAAAAGAAAATAAGAAAAGGATTAAGAAAAAGGAGGGAAAAGCAGACGGTACAAAAAACGATGAAAAAAAAGAGGAAAACGAAGAGAATAAAATCTGCACAAAATGGAAACACGAAGAAAATGACGAGCAATTAAAAAAAAGATTATGAAAAAGAAAGTGAACGAAAAAAATAATTTTACGACGGATGAAAAGGGATGGAAGCCGAGATGTCAGATGCCCAATAACATAGCAAATTCTTCTTTGGATTTTATCAAATCTCTAAATATAAAGCACAACCACCAGACAAGATGTAGCAGGAATATTCAGTGCATAAATAAATGATAGACTTCTAAATATGAAAGAGAAATTTTGGCGAGAAAATTGTCTAACATTTCTCAGTAAACCAACTTTCCTAGCAGCAGACCAAACTATTGATTTCGTATCATCTTTTCACTCAATGTAAACGGACAACGTTATCCACTGTGGATAAAGGTAGAACAGTCTACCCCAGTGAGAGAAATAAAGGGTTCAGTTCGACATTCCAACCCACAGTGGATAAAGATAGTAGTTAGATCCAGTGACAGGACCCAAAGGCGTTAGTTAGATCCAGTGACAAGACCCAAAGAGTGTGAGTTCAATACCCGCTTAAGGCAGAGGAGAACTTAAGGAGAAATTAACAGGAGATAACTGACAATTGACATCCATTAAACATGGCACGTGGAACTAGAACAGTCTACCCCAGCGAGCGAAATAAAGGGTTCAGTTCGACATTCCAACCACCTGAAGAAGGCCGGAGCGTACAACTGCCGAAACGTTGTGATAAATATGGCCACAAAGATGAGGACAATATTCCGAATAATGTGGATCATGTACATAATGCCTAAGAAAATATAGACAGATGTCGGTATAAATGTTTATACAAATATTTAAAATATTGAAATGAAAATGGGTTGGGAAAAGCTGTACAAATGCAAATGCAGGTTTTATTTTCTAGAAAATATCATACTAAAAAGATGTAGAAATGCGTTACATACCTTCTTCCCGACCATGAAAAGGAAAGCTATTGGGCGTTACAAAATTTGTATTTACTCATAAGTCCAGCGCATCATTTTGTCGGCGTGCCAGGAAAGCATCTTCTCTTTGCGGCGTCTATTCCAGTACTGTCTTCTGCACAAGCTTGCCGTACTTTGACTGGCCGTTAAGGATGACATCACCCTCCAAGCGCTGCGTGCAGTAATTCGGGAAGGCGTGAGTGAAGGGAAGAGAGAGGGTGTCATAATAAACCTGAAAAGATATTTGAAACGTTAATACAAAATTCAGATACTATATCTTTCAGCTTTTGTTGCTGATTTTAATTTTAACCATTTCAAGTCAAGCAAAGCAATAAAGCCACTAAAGCAGAAGGATGGAAGAATGTGTGTCAAAAGTTTAAGAAGAGAGGACAATAAAAGAACAAGTGTTAAGAAGACATAAAATAACTATTAACATTGCATTTAAATTTTTAAAGATCAAAGTTGTGTGGATATCAAGAAGCCGAAAGAAAGTTCCACAGATGAGAAATCTAAAAGAGGAAAGTGTTATCAAAGAACATATCGTTACAATTATCAATTTCGACGTCGCCGACAAAACTAACCTGACCTTTTGTTTTGAAAAAGGACATCCAATCGGTTGTGGACTGGGACAGAAATTGGCTGGTTAACTTTAATGCTTCAAAAACAAAACTGCTCTCTATTACTCACCAGAGAGAACTACCCCTGCCTCCTATTAGAATGACGCTCAACTCCACGAGAGCGCCTCTTTGCGACTGCTCGGTCTCACATTGGTCTACTGACCTGAAATGGAACAATTACATTGAGTCAATAGCTTCGTCGATCGAAAGAAAAGTTGGCTCCCTGTGCTGCGCCAGGAAATTTTTCTCGCCGGAGTCAATCCTTCAAATCTACAAATCAACCATTCGCCCTTGGATGGAGTATTGCTGCCATATATGGTCAGGGGAACCCTTCTAATCGTCTCAAGGTCCTTGATAAAATCCAGAAACGGATATGCAATGTAATTGGCCCTGTTCTGGCATCTCCTTTACAGCCGCTCTCTCACAGACGTACCGTTGCCTCCCTCTGTCTTTTTTACAAATATTTTCACGGTACTGCTCCGATGAGCTGCTTTCGCTGGTTCCCAGAATTCATGAATTTAAGCGCTCAGCTAGGCTGGCATCTCGCTCTCACCCTTTTACTGTCGAAACTGTTAAATGGCGTCGTCTCTTCTACTCCAATAGCTTCCTGTTTCGTACTTCTCGCCTGTGGAACTCCCACCCCTTTTCTTGTTTCCCTGATAACTATTGAAATGTAACGTCAATCGATGTCTCCAGATGCCCTGATCTATCCCCTAACCGTCTCTTCATCCTTTCCTCTATCACTCCTCTTTGTTCTCGCTCCAACTCTGTAACCCCTTGCGTGCTAGTGGCTTCCCGCCTTACTTGGGGTTGAATGCTTAAAAAAAAAAAAAAGACGATGAGATATATTTGCCAATGTAGTACTGTGCTTAAATTCGTGAAGTGTAGGTACGAAAGAGGAAAGCTCATCACAACAATTACCATGAAAACATTTATAGAAAAAGCACAGAGAACCTACGTTATAGCGATGGGGGAGTGATTGAATCCGAGATGCCAGATGAGGTAAATTTGATACAGAATAGCGAAAGAAATGTATCTTCATTTAACCGCGACCAAATTAAATTCCTTGCTCACATATATTACTTCTACCAAGGCACTTCAACGTGGTTTAATGGTTAAAAAGCTTCTGAGTGCTCCACTGTTCTGGCCTTGTACCACATCCATGCTTAGGTAATCATTTTGACATAAAGTAAGCAAGTCTGTCTCCCTACATCAATTACGACTGAGTAGTGAGTTCGATCCTCGCTGGGTGCTCCACACTTTCGGCCTTGTGCCACATCTAAGCTACGCCTAGAAAATCATTTTGGGGCACTTCGATGTGGTGCAAAGATTAGCAAGCCTGTCTCCTTACATCATTTAATCATGAATCATCATTTTTATCCCCGCTGGGTGCTCCAAACTTTCAGCCTTGTGCCATATCTAAGCTACAATTAAAAAATATTATTGGGACAATTCGATGTGGTGTAATAGTTAGCAATGTGTGTCCCTACATCAATTACGAGTTGTGAGTTCGATCCTCAGTTGGTGCTCCACACATTTGGCCTTGTGCCACATCAAAGCTAAGTCTAAAAATCATTCTGGGACACTTCGGCGTAGGTGTAATCGTTAGCAAGATTGTCTCGCTACATCAATTACGACTGGATAGTGAGCGGCTCCAGACTTTCGGCCTTGTGTCACATCTAAACTATGTCTAGAAAATCACTATATTTCTAGTACTCAGGTCGAAAACTACTAAATTAATCTATTTATATCGTAAAGAGTCTATTTTTAGAAAATCGGAAGGCAGCTTTTCGTTCCCGAAGCTTTCGTCATAGTTTTTTTTTTTTTTTTCCTTATTTTTCGTCATTTTTCTGTCTTTGAAGAGTCCATTTTTAGGAAAGCGGAAGGCAGCTTTTCGTTCTCGATGCTTTCAACATAATTTTTTTTCCCTTGTTTTTCGTCTTTTTTTCTTTCTTGGCTTTCCACTGTTAATCATAGAATCCTTTACTCAAATAAAACTTCTCGTCTCAGATTTGATTATTTTCACTATCTCCAAATGTTTTATTTATTTGTTGGCATTAAATATTTCTTTATAGCTGCCTACAATAAATTTCCATTAACTTGACAACTCTGTGACCACTCCGTCCAAATATCAATCGTTGATCATGTTTACGACCGTCATTAATTTAAAAACAAATGCCTTAATCATAGCATCAATATCTTCCACGATATGTCTCTTTTCTACTTTCTCCCGTCACCAAATATTTTCCCGCTTTTTTTTTTAATTCTTTCCGCCAAACCCAGCCGATAACCGAAGCCATTAATGGAAGTTAAATTAATGTCCTTGATATACCAATACTTGGATTGTAAAGATCTTGTAAAAAGACATCAGTATTTTATAGAAGCACAAAAGCGATAAAACAGGTCCTCCTGCAGTAGTAAATCTGCTCACACCTCTCAAGGTTAACAATAAATGCAACATTTGATTACTGTATATGAGAAAGTGGCCTGTGGAGATAAGTAGATAAAATGGCAATGAATTTCAAACAACGCCTTTCACTTCCATATGACTGGCGTCTTCAGATCGGAAAGACAGGCACAATTCCGTGTGTTAGAATTTAAGGAGGAAATAGGAAGTATTCTTATCACCTTCTAGAGGCCAAAAAGGTATTTTTTTATATCAAAGTCTGCCGGTTTTTTAATTAGCCCACATAGACAGGCACACTATTTTGAGGTAAATATTTTTATTAGTAGCGATTTTCCAAGCATAGCTTAGATGTGGCACACGGCCGAAAGTAACGGGCACCCAATGAGGATCGAACTCACGACTCAGTCGTAATTGTTCTAGCGAGACAAGCTTGCTATCCATTACACCACGCCGAGGTGCCCAAACTGGTATTCCAAGCATAGCTTGGATGTGGCACAAGGCCGAAAGTAAGAGACACCTAGTGAGGATCGAACTCACTTCTCCTTCGTAATCGTTTTAGCGAGACAAGCTTGATAACTATTACGCCACCTCAAGGTGTCCTAAATATTTTTTTCTTATTACGAAAGTAAGTAATGTTCAAAATAACAACACAGATTTAACACAAACGGTTATTTATTTTCACCATCAATTGTTAAGACAATTTAAAATCTTTCTTCGAGACGACTATAGTCTGGTTCACGACGTGAATCTTTTAGTTAAGTCTTTTTTTAGCGAAGAAATGTCACATTGATATTTTTGGGTTGCATTCCTGCTGTGGCATAGGTTATTTTTCTTCTTAGTGCTAAAAACCTATTTACATTTACGGGAAAAATATCATCAATGTCTATTTTACCGGAACCGGAAAAATAGCCGGGGTATCTATTTTAAGAGATCGGCAAAATAATGTCGGTATCTATTTTACCAGGGTTGCCAAAAATATCCTTGGAGTCTAGTTTACCGGGACCGGAAAAATAACAATGGTGTATATTTTACCGGGACGGGAAAAATAGCCTTTGTGTCTATTTTACCGGGATCGGAAAAATAGCTTCAATGTCTATTTTACCGGGACCAGAAAAATAGCCTTGGTGTATATTTTACATACCGGAAAAATAGCATCGGTGTCTATTTTACCGGGACCGGAATAGACATCAAAGCTATTTTACCGGGACCGGAAAAATAGCCTTGATGTCTATTTTACCGGGATCGGAAAAATAGCCTTGATGTCTATTTTACCGGGACGGGAAAAATATCCTTTTTGTCTTTTTAACCAGGATCGTAAAAATAGCATCGATGTCTATTTTAGCGATACCGGAAAAATAGCCTTGGTATATATTTTACCGGGACAGGAAAAATAGCCTCGGTGTCTATTTTACCAGGACCGGACAAATATCCTTTGTGCCTATTTTACCAGGATCGGATAAATAGCTTCGATGTCTATTTTACCGGTACCGGAATAATAGCCTTGGTGTATATTTTACTAAGATCGGAAAAATAGCCTCGATGTCTATTTTACCGGGACCGGAAAAATAGCCTTGGTGTATATTTTTACCGGGACTGAAAAAATAACCTGGCTGTGTATTTTAAAGGGGTTCGGCAAAATAGCGTCGGTGTCTATTTTACCAGGGCTGCCAAAACATCTTGGATGTCTATTTTACCGGGACCGGAAAAATAGGCCAGGTGTCTAGTTTACCAGGGCCTCCAAAATAGCGTATTCGTTTATTTCCTTTAATAGTATACCGCATTTTGTTACCAATTCTTTTGCGATGATCGATGGTATTGTACACGTGACTGTAGAAAATTGTGAGATCAGTGCAACCTCAGCCAGGGATCTTACATTATATCACCGATCATCGCATAAGCTATAAAAGTAACGTAAAGTTTATAAACTAACAATAGAGAAAAAAGTGATCTATTCGGAGTCGGCTAATTTTAAACCTAGCCTTCTTTAAAGATTTCAATATGGAAAAAAATCTTTCTGGGCATAGCATCTGATGAGGATATTTGTTACCTCTTGGTCAAATTGCAAAGCACTTTCCTGAAAAACAAAGGGTTTTTATCTCTCATTCCGACTTGATGATGACGCCTATCACGAAGACGCAAAACATGTCGTCTAAACAACTTCCCGGCTTTTTCTCATCATTTCGACTTTAGATCAGACATGATTCTACACGTTACTAACACCCAAAGTGATTTATCTAAACGTTCACTTACCTGATGTCTTCTTTTATGAATCGGCGTAGTATACCATTGCCGACATCAAGATCGTTGTAATCAATGAGACAGAGAAAAAGGTCGTAGATTCATGACTCCCTCAAAGTCCTTTTTTACTGTGTTTTTCGACCAATACAAGACCCAGGCACCTCACCAAGCAGATGGTTACTGAATAGTTTTATGGACGTTAGAATTATAGATTATAAGTACGATAGATAACGGTTGACCACAAAAGTTATGATTGCATTAGCCGAGGAAGCATCTTCACAGGAATCGGTTCCAACAAGCAGGAGCTCTTGGGAAGAAGCTTTTCGAATGGCACTTCCTAGAAATAGAATACGAATAGAAACAGTTGTTACAGTTTTTGTATATATATATATATATATATATATATATATATATATGACTAGTGAGCGAGTCAAAATGACTTAACTCCCTTTATAGTTCACCAATAGAAGGTTAACCAATCAGAATCCGCAGAACATTGTATCCGTCGTGTATAAAGGCGGACATTTTTGTTTACCCTACCCTAATGACCAGTGCCTACTTGAAGATGACAGAAGGAAGTACTACGCTCTGCTACTTTGCTGTGATATCCACTGCTAACCTGAACTACGCTTTCCTATTGTCTCCGAAATATTCACTGCTAACCTCTGAATTCTATACTCGAAGACGACCGTCATGAATTTGTAACATCAGTATGTCGAGTCTTAACTATAAAGTTCAGAACTGGGAGAAGTAGCTCGTCATTACATTTTCTATGAAAATAGTAAAAGTAGTGGCTTTTGCGGGAAAGGAGTTGTAAGATGAAAAATAATTCATCACCCACAAGGCCGCGTAAACGCTTTTGAACTCTGTCCAGGCTGTAAAAAGAAATTGCAACAGTTAGCCGAGACCGTAGGTCACCTGCTATCAGGGTTTACCAGAATCTTGAATTTGAGAAAGTAATATGTGGGGGTGACTTTAATGAAAGGTGGAATTATTGAAATCCATCAGAGTCAAACTGAAAAGAGTTTCTCTTCTAAGTGCGAGCGCTTCCTTTCTCGACGTTCAGACAGACACAAAGAGAGAATGAGAGAAAGATAGAGAGAAACTGAGCAAAAGAGATAGAAGACAGAGAGAGAGAAAGAGAGAGAGAAGCAGAAAACAGCAGAGAGAAGAAACAGAAAGAAAAAAGGGGGAGAGAAGGAGAGATATAGAGGAAGAAATTGTTCAGGCAAACAGAGAGCGATAAAAAGAGAAAGACAGAAAAAAATAGAGAAAGAAAGTCAGAGGGAAAGAGAGAGAGGAAGAAATTGTTCAAACAGACAGAAAGAGAGATAAAAGATATCGACTCCAGTCAATTTCTCACAGACGTTCTATGGCTTCCCTCTATCTTTTCTACAAATATTTTCATGGCAACTTCTCTGACGAGCTACATTCACTGGTACCCCAAACGCATGAATTTAAGCGTGCTACTAGGTTGGCATCTCGGTCCCAACCTTTTACTGTAGAAACAGTTAAATGTAACCACTTCTTCTACTCAAACAGGTTCTTCTCTCGCACTTCCGACAGTGGAACTCCCTTCCTCTTAGTTGCTTCCCTGATGGCTATAATCTTCAAATAATCAAATGTAATGCCAACCGACATTCGAGTCCTTCCGCAAACATCTTTTCAACATTTTTGGCCTGATTTGAATCTTGTGAAGACATATTATGGCAGAGAAGTCAGGTACTTTTTGGTGCGTTACAAGGAAACGAACATGCCCTGTCGGCTGGAGCTTAAGAATACGCCGACTGTACCTCTGCAGAAATATAAGACCCACCCAATTAGACGTCCTGGGTATGACGATAAACTATATCTCAATTTTTTCATATCTATCTATCTATCTCAGTTTCTTCATATGTATCTCAGTTTCTTCATATCTATCTATATCAGTTTCTTCATACCTATCTATCTCAATTTGTTCATATCTATCTAAGTCTGTCCATATCTATCTATCTATCTATCTATCTGTCTATCTCGGTTTGTTCATATTTATCTATCTATTATAAATTATCTGATTTAAAATATCGTTTTTCGCTACACAGCAATAACCATGTTTCAAAAATGAAGCTAAAAACTTTAAATTTAATTATATAATTAAATTAAAAGCATTAGTTCCGTTTCAATTTCAAGCGAATATTGGAATAACTTAGATTTAAACACACATATTTTAAACACTGGATTATATATCTTACTGTTCTTTCTTTTTATTTATATATACATATATCTATCTAACTATCTCAGTTTTTTTTCATTATCTCTCTATCTATCTCAGTTTGTTCATATTTATCTATCTATCTAACTATCTCAGTTTGTTCATATCTATCTATCTATCTATCTATCTATTTCAGCTTGTTCATATGTATCTATCTATCTCAGTTTGCTCATTTCTATCTATCTATCTGTCTCAGTTTGTTCATTATCTATCTATGTCTGTTCTTATCTATCTATCTATCTATGAGACTATTCGTTTCTCTCTCTCTCTCTCTCTCTCTCTCTCTCTCTCTCTCTATCTATCTATCTATCTATCTATCTATCTACGTCTGGTCATATCTATCAATTTGGTGTTCTTTATCTACTAAACACCTTACTATCAGTACACACAGAATATATAATAGGCAGTGTTTCACGTTGTCTATTTTTATTTTGCGCAAATGCTTCCGAGACGGCTGTGGGCTGCTTCTGGTCGTGAAACTTTTATCACCGCGAAGTAATGCCGCATTGATATTTTGGGATTGCATTCCTGCTGTGGCATAGGCTATTTTTTTAATTTATTTTATTTTTTTTTATTTATCTTATTTAATTTCCCAGTCTAGGGTTTGGAGCACTTTATGCCGTATGAAGTTCAAATGCATTTCCTTAATGCTGTTTGTTTCTTCTTTGCCTCCGGCATGGCTATTCCGTGTTGTTTTGGTTTTATCATTTTCTACTTTCTTTATATAAGTTCATTAATTCCGACCATATACATACACACATACATGCAGACACAAGTGTGTGTGTGTGTGTTGGGTTTGTTAATAGTTTTTATATATTACATCGAACAGTGTTGTTATCGCTTCCTTATTTATTTTAATATATAATACGCACACACAAACACAACACACACACACACACACACACATATATATATTATAAGATTATTACTAGTATACATATATATATATATATATATATATATATATATATATATATATATATACTAGTAATAATCTTATAAATATAAAAATTATACTCAGTGTTATGATTTGCAAATAATCAAACCAATACCAAAGGGAAAAATGATATAAAAAACAGAGAGAACCAAGAACATGTACATCAGCCGAAAATAATCGTCTGGCAGCCAAGTCCAGTGTCTAAAGAAAAAAAAAACCCGATATGAGTTAGCAAAATAACTAAATGAAGTGCTCAATACAGTAAGCAGAGCAGACTTAATTAAACCTATAGAGCCAGACAAACCTACCAAGTTTTCACCTATGCGGATCGTCACTTAAGCGGATCGTCATATATATATATATATATATATATATATATATATATATATATATATATATATATATATATATATATATATAGTGAACATAGAAGTCAACACTTATTGGCGACAGTCTGTTTCATGCTATATACAATCGTGGCCTGACGATTGCATCAAGCATGAAACAGACTGTCACCTCAAAGTGTTGACTTCTATGTTCACTCATATTTACACACGCTCTATCTCTGATATTGAGCACTTTATCCCATAAATATAGCACATCTTAAGACTATATATATATATATATATATATATATATATATATACTATTATTATTTCAAACTTAATTTTTTTTCGTGCATATCCTTGTTTGAAATATAAAACCTGTTAGTTTTTATCTTAAAAGTGTTCGGCGAAAATAGTACGACAATTTCGAAACATTTCTTGTGGCGCGTTTCATCCGTTACATTTTCATCCGACTGGGCTTTTTTGATGTTGCCACGTCTACACATGCGCACGAAACGAGAGCTGCTGGTAGTTTCAAAATTTTTGAAAGTATATTGTTTCACTCTAACCAAATTCATCTGTATTCTTTTTTTTCTCTTTCTCTCTTTCCATCACCTTTGGCCCTGTGTATCCCACATTTTGACAACGAAAAATCTACCAAAATGGTGATATTGTTGTATATCTTCTCTCTCGTGCTGGGAGTGGTCTTGGTTGACGGTCTTCATTTGAAAATAAAGTTGTCTTCTTCTCTCTAGGCCGGTGATCAAGATTTCTTTTGGTTCTAGATGGAAAAAACTTTAACACAGGGGATTTTAATTCATTTTAGTAACGTTCACTTCGACATATCCTATTTAACAAGTGGGATCGCTCTCCCTCCACTGGGAAGCAGTTCCTAACACGAAAGTCAACACGTCTATATTGCTTGACGGTTCAAAAACATCTCTCCAAATAACCTTTCTCTATCTATCGTTCTCACGCTCTGAACGATCAAAATCGACTTCCTTGTTTTGTCTTCCATCTGACTGCAAAGGTCAACCTCAGGAAGTCAGAGCAGTGATACCATTCCCTCTAAAAATAATAGTCTGTTAAACTATTATTTAACAATATACTGTAAGATCCTGGATGCAAATTTACTGTGGCTGAATTAGCGATCAAGGCACTTTCCAGGTATTTTCGTCTCAATGGATTATTTTCTCTTTTAATCAAAGTAGCATTTCCTTTATTAAAAAAATGTATATTACGCCAATTTTACGTCTAACTTACAATAATAAAATCTTTTCTTTCTTTCGTTATTTTTTGTAGCGGTTTTCTTTTTAGCAATTAAATAGCCTACTCAGATATAAACGGCCATATTTTGCTAGACAACTACATCATTTATCAATATACAAACTGTCATCTGCATAAAATAGTTTTTGTAGATCGGTGTTGACGATGCCTTGAAACGAGTTAATCCTATACATTTTAAAGAAGATATCAAGTCCTATAATTTTATTATAATCGGACGCTACAAAAGTAGAAAGAGCATCAGCGAATAATGTGAATACTAATCTGAGGATTTACAACAGAAACAAGAACAAAAAAAAAACGTTGCACATGGAATTAAAAGAGAAAATAATGATATAATCAAATGTTTCCCCAGCAATAAATAGAAGTTCTTTTCTTTTCTGTTTTATTTTCTAGAATATTTTTTAAACGTTTAATTTTCATTTCATCTCCTTACTCCGCATGCGCAATTTATAACTCTGTTGAATCACAGTTCATCTTTTTTTGACTGGACCGCCATAACCTCTTGTTTTGTACACACAAGTCTGGCTTCAAAATTGTTTTTGTACACACGAGTCTGGCTTCAAAACCTACGAACATGCGCATTAGTTGCTAAGTTTCTCTTCTAAAAATGGCAACATGCGAACATTGATGTTTTTTCTTTCTTTATTATTTCCTCTTTTGGCTTTCTTTTTTTTTTAATTTATTTATTATTTTGATCTTTTTTTTCTTTCTTCTTCATTACTCTGTTGCCTCTTGTTATGTCTTATTCTTACTTTCCTTTTTATGTTTTAGTTTTTCCTTCTCATTCCTTCCTTCTTTAATTTTATTTAATTTTAATTTTCTTCCTTTCTTTCTTTCTTTCTTTCTTTCTTCCTTTCTTTCTTTCTTTCTTTCTTTATTCATTACTTTGCTTGTTATTTTTATCGCTTCGTTCTTTTATCGTTCTGTTAATATTATGTAGTGTTTTTCTCTTTCTCTCTCTTTCTCTGTCTGTCTGTCTGTCTGTCTGTCTGTCTGTCTGTCTCTCTCTCTCTCTCTCTCTCTCTATTTTCCTCCTTTTCTTCCCGGATATTTGTAGAATTAAAAATAATTTATTCCATTGTCTTATTTTTTTTTTAACTCAGTATTCTGTTATCCAGTCTGCTTCCGGTTAGAAATACGACTTCCGTTCCAGTATCAGCATTCAAATCCAACTGAGATTTAAGTTTTTTAATGAAGGTTTTTCTTGGCTTCTACAACCAGAAGCCAGATTTTTTTTTAAAATTATGCCATACTTGGCTGAACTAAAAAAATATATATTTATTTGCCTGACCATAATTAAATCTTTACTCTGTATCTTATTTATTTATTTTTATAACGATTTTTTAACAATTAAATGACTTGGCCGGGATTATACAAAACGCACAATTCATTTAGAAATATATAAATTGTCGTCTGTATACAATTGATTTTAATGATTAGTGTTTAAAATATCTTTAAACGAGTTAATCCTATAAATATTATGGGATATGTTTTATCAAGCCCTACAATCAAGCGCTATAAAACTACAAAGGAGATTAGCAAAGAACACATCACTTGAAGATTTACAACAGACACAACAAAAACGGGTTGTGCATGTAACTAACAGAGAAAATAAGGATATAATCAGATGTTTTTACATTACCAAAAACAAATATTTGGAATGAAGCTTCCATCAGTAGTAAAAAAAATCTACAACATTTACTGGACTTAAGAAGTCTATTTTTGTGAGATGTTATTTTACGAAAAAGGTTTTCTAATCTTCAATCGACGCTAATGCTAAACTGCTATGTCAATGTTTTCCAAAGCGCCCCCTGTAGGATAACAGCTAAAAGATATTGTTAATCGTATATAGGAGTATATTCTAAAAACCAAAACCAAAACTTGGCATCTGATCTCTCCTCTGACTCAGCATTGATGACAATGGAAGAAGGTAAATATCTTTATGCTGTAGCATACCTACGGACTATAATTGGTATGTCCCCATTCACATAAATACTGAATGTTGGTCTGCAATTGGCGATTCGTTTCCAGCTGTATTGGTCAAACTCTCTGCTTCCGGGCAGAGAGGATCCTCAGACGAGGTTATGTCGAAGGGCTGAGTCTCATCTCTGGAAACAGCTGCCCAACTCCGTTTTATATGGGGTTTACGGAAAATTTTTGGCCGAGACTACGGGCTCGGATACCCAACATTAAATTAGGCCTTGTGCCAAAGCTGACTGCGTGGGGCGGTTGGTAGATATCCTGCAGTTGGAGATTCATTGTGGAATTTACTTGACTCACTTCTAGCAGTTGACTACTACTTCTACGCGCCGAGAAAAAGATTTTGCGCCCCTAAATTTATCAGTCATCCCAGGCCACGTAAAAATACATTAGGATATTTAGTATTTTATTTAGGCTTTTGGGGATTTCTTTTTGTTTTATTTTAGTTAGAATATGTAAGCGTGGATCCCCCACCCCGCCTTATTTTTGTTCATTTCATTTCTATTTCCAACCCCTTTCCCTATGGGTTAAATATCTCTCAGTGCTTTCGTGGGTGTGAGGCACTACCAAAATATGTTTTCCGTTTCGAGTCTTGTATTGTTTCGCCCATTTAAATGAGATTTTCTGCTACATGTAAATTTGGTTGGAGGAATCAAATAATAAAATAATTTTGAATAGGTTTTGTAGATACATCATTGGGGTTTAGTAATTTTGCTCCCACCCCCTCCAAAAATAATTGTACATATAATTTTAAGTTATGAATTGCATTGAGCAAACGACCTATTTTGGTGACTTTAGTGATGCTATGTTGAATGGAAGGTTATTTGTGCAGACGGGTCAATAAATAAGAATGACTAGATTAAGAAGACCAGCCAGCCTTATCCCTTATTTTGGCCTTGAGCCACATATATAATTTTTGTACATTAAATATACGTTCTTACCCACATTGGAATCAGCATCCCTAATATTAATAACCTTTCAGTTAGTGCGTCATATTAATATACGACTCGCGCTGTAGAGTCAATCTGTACTTTATCACTGTTTGGAAACAAATCTTTATTTGAAAACAAATCGAATTACATCAATAAAATTACAATCTGGCTTTTGTTTAAGCTTCTATTTTACAAATTATATTAAAATATGGCTCATTAACTTTACCTCACACGTAAAAGAAAACAACAAAAAAATGATTGATTTAAATTGAAACCTCCAGAAGTGAAATCGTTTGCTTATCGTCTGCTATTTTATGTGGAAAACTATTGATTTACATCAGTGTTTTCCTTTCGAAAACATTACATTTCTTTTATCGTGAAAACGAATAAAACTTCTCAAACTCAAATAGGACTTGATGGCTTCGGTATAAGTTAAATGCTAAATTTAATTACGTCTAATATGATCAGAGGGCATTGATTCTTTTCTTTCCGTTCTTTCAGATCGCCGTTTCTTCTTTTGTATCATCTCCTTTTGCAGCTTGAAATTGTGTACAGACCGATAGCTAGTAAGAATTTCTGAGGATGAAAGAAAATACGATGGAAATTAAATGAATAAATAAGGTGTATTTGTTCTTGACATTCATTGTACCATGAGACAGCGCCAGACAAAAAATTAAAATGAATAAATTAAAACAAAAACGTTTAGAGGTTGGCAGGGTGGGGGAATAAGTGTCGACTTATTGCAAAAAAAAAAATTATATGGGTGTGTAACCAAACAGTTAAAGCATTGGGCACTTCGACGTGGTGTATTCGTGATTTCGATTCTCATAGGGTACTCTTTAATTTCGGGCTTGAGCTACGTCTAAGTTACGCTTAGAAAATCACTAAATAGTCAGAAACCCTTAGTTTTTGGCTAGGACACCATGTTTCGAATTTCACAATTAGTCAAGGAAATTTATTTAATGATAACATTGTCCTGGGGAGACACTGCGGCACTGGAGAAAATAACACGAGTTAAATGAACCTTATATCTATTATCCCGAGTTTATAAAAGGCGAAAACGAAAAAAAAAAGACTCTTACTCCGCAGGGAAATTTGACAGATATTTACATTTATTAAATATCAGGAGAAATACTAATAACACGGTAGTTAAAATTCATAAAACAACTTGCAAAAAATTTAATTTGTGCGCCAAACACTTAGGCAAGATAACAAGTTCAAGTTACAATTCCGTTAGACAATTAACAATTACAATCATTATCAAAAAATGTTCACTTACTTACTTGTTCATTCAATTGTCAAAACGAGTTGAGAAGGATGACAAATTCACAGGCGTCGTTAGCTATCTTTTGCTCGTCCTGTCTCCCATCGGCATGGCTGATACTAACCTTCATGCGAGCGACTCCTGGCGTCTTTTCGGGCTCATATTCTCCACTGACATGAAATGGAAAGATTATATTGAATCCATTGCTAGTTCTGCTGCTAGAAAAATTGGATCACTCTGTCTTTTTAGACAATTTTTCTGGTGCAGAATCTATCTTAGATATCTACAAATCTACCATTCGTCTATGCTTTGAATATTGGTGCCAACTATGATCCGTTGATCCTGCCATATATGATCCGGTGCTCCGGTCATATATTAGAGATCCTTGATGAAATCCAAAGAAGAATCAGAAATATTATTGGACCTGACCTGGCATCTCTGCTTCAGACACTTTCCCACCGCCGTAATGTAGCTTCCCTCTGCCTTTTCTATAAATACTGTTCATGGTAACTGTTCGAGTGAACTCTTCGCTATGGTACCTAGACTTTATGAATTTAAACGCAGTACTAGATTGGCGGTGAGGTCTCATCCATTCGTAGTTGAATTGACTATATGTAAACTTAAGTTCTATGCAACAATTTCTTTATTCGCATTTCTGGCATGTGGAACTCTCGTCTGGTTCCTTGCTTTCCAGCCAACTTTGAGCTTTAAAAAATCAAACACAGTGTTAATCGTTATCTACTATCTTCGTGATGATTCGTCTATTGTTTTTGCTCCTTAATAATGTTTCTTTTGTCTTAACCCCTTGTGTTTTTAGTTTTATAAAGTGAGATTCAAAAAGAGATCGATTTTTCATAAAAAGTTCAAATCATGGTGAAGCCCTCTAATTTTTTAAAACTTTTAACATCCAATTATAGATAGTTAATCGTATATATCTTTCTAGATTTGTAGAAAGCTAGCGTTCTCCTCCTCCTTCTTCTTCTTCTTCTTCTTCTTCTTCTTCTTCGTTGAACAAAACAGACTTCTGAATAGATGCATAGCTGCATGAATTAGAATTCTATGGAGTTTTGACTTTCTTTTCCCATTGGTTAAAAATTACAAAATGTATCTCTTCAAACCACGCCTGTTTTTCGATTTTTAGAAGAAAAGAGTTGAGGCCTTTTTTACATACATTTAGAAAACAGTTTTATACATGTACCTTTTTTAGAAACCGATAGAATTCATTTTTGCATTAATTTTAAATAAATTTGAGCTTCGCATATACAATGTTTTACGCATAAAATGTTTATTCGAACCATTTTTTACTAATCGTCTGACTTTTTATTTATTTATTTAAAGAATAGCTGTTAGTGACTTTCTTCTTTTACTAAATGTTTTCTTTTAATTTGCAAAGAGACTCCCCTCAAAAGAAAATGTAATAAACAATCCGAGTCAGTTGTATTCCTTTTATTTATCCTTTAATTATTTCGATATAATTTTACATTTATCTTTTATTATATAAATCTTTATAGGGTTAGCTCAAGGAAATTATCCCGATCTCGTCGAGGTAACCATTACCATAGGCTGGTCTAGGTGACGCTGGTTCTACTATTCAACAGTAACTTAAGACATATGTCACAGTGTACAAATCGAGGGATACTCCTTATAAATATCCCAATAGTAGACATCTGTTTATCTCACGTGATAAAGGCAGTCCCATATTTGTTCAAAATTCAATCTCAAGGGGATTGAAACTAGAGTGACCTGTGCAGGGCGCAGTCCAGAGTGACGTGATATCGAGGCCGTGCGCTACTGAGACAACATGCACACCCCTATCAGTCATACCGACAAGATCCAAATACAGAGTGTTTCGTTTAAGAACGGCTGGAGTTGCTGGAAAGTTGTCAGTGTTGACATTCAACTACCTTCGAGGCTCCACTCTGGATTTTCTACCCGAATTTTCATTCCACTAGACGGACTGCCGTTCTGGACTGACGAGCTCCATCTACTCGAAACGGCTGGTTATGAGGCGCCAGTCGACCCGCCTTCGAACATTCTCCGACTTGGAGATGGACTAAGTTGTCAGAGGCTATTTGAGACGCGCGCCACGGAAGGATTTTATCGGAAGTGAGAGCTATCAACCACGGCTATGCGACCTTTGGAACATACATAATGTACGTATATAAACATTATATACATTTTCTCTTATAGAAGTTCAAAAAAATTAACTGTTCTTTAAATATATAGTAGATTCCCAACATTAATCTTTCCGACGTACACTTAGAAAATTGGCAACTATATGTCACGTTTACTTACCATTTATTTAGAACCATCCAGTATACTGTCGGGCTTCAGATTCGACAATAATGCTTCAAAACTTATTCCAATTGCAATAAAAAATATTCAACTATAGCAATTTTCTATGTTTAGCTTAGATGGTCACAAGTCCGAAAGTAAGGGGCACCCAATGAGGATTGAATTCATTACTCAGTCGTAATTTTTCTAGCAAGACAAGCTTGCTAACCACTACACCACCATCGAGGTACCCCGATTTTCTCACTATGTATAGTGCTAGGAAACAAATATTCATACACGTTCACATTTTTAATTTATTGTATTTCCAACTAATGAATAAACATAATTTTCATATAATTAACTGTATACGGATGGAAAATGAGTAAATATGCATAGAAAACAGAAAGAAATTGATTTAATAGAAATAAATCCCATTTATCCATTTTAATCGAGGAAAAAAGTATTCGTACAATTCAAATTTCAGATTTAAATTGCTTTAATAATGTAGATTATTCAAGTGGAATATTTTAGAATGTTCCATTAATGTTATAAGTAGTTACTTTTAGCCTAAAAAATACAAACAGAACATTCAGTAATTGATATTCGTGTAAGAAGTTTTTCATCATGGCAAGAGATAAAGAACTGAAGAATTCGCATTAATAACTGATTGTTAAGCTCTGGAACGAAGGTAAAATTTACAGAAAAATCTCAGACAACCTGAATATTCCATTTACTACCATTAGATCATTAATTGAAAGGAATTAAAAACTCAAAACTGTTGAAAACCAAAGAACCGGTGCTGCACGGAAGATTTCTTCAAGATCTTCGAGGAAATTAATGCGTCAAATTAAACAAAAACCCAATGGTTATTTGTCAAGAGTTGCAGGATGATTTGCTTTCATCAGGAATCTGTGACACAAAACGGACAATAAGCAATGAAATTCATAGGAACAATCTAAAGTCAGACTCCACTCGGAAAACATCACTGCTATTGAAAAGACACAGAGATGCTAGGCTGAAATTGGTTCGTGACCATAAGGATAAGGAAAATCGTATTGGGAAAAAGTATTATGGACAGACGAAATCAAAATTGAGTTGTTTCGACGTAATTCTTGAAATCATGTATGGAGGAAAGATGGCGATGCCTTCAAACAAAAGAACTCAGTTCCAACAAAGGTGGTGGCGGCATCATGGGTTTTGGATGTTTTTCTGCAAAAAGTACTGACAACATATCAGTAATCGATGGGAAAATGAAGGCCGCAGCATATCAAAATATTTTGGAAGCAAATTCAGTGATTTTGGTTGAAAATCTTGAACTTCCTTCTGATTGGATCTTCCAACAAGATAATGATCCTAAGCACTCTGCAAAATCTACAAAGAAATGGCTTGCTAAAAATAATGTAAATATCCTGAAATGGCCAAGTCAGTTCCCAGGTTTAAACCCAATCGAGAATCTGTGGCGTTATTTGAAAATTCATATCCAATTGAGAGCTCCAATAAACATCCCGGATCTGAAGACCATATGCGAAGAAGAATGGAACAAAATACCATTTAAAATTAACAAATGTTTAATTGAGAACTACACGTGGTTGGTTGCTGTAGAAGTGAATAATGGCTATTCTATAAAATATTAAATAAAGATTATGTATTCTTTTTTGTATTGTACGAATAATTTTTCACGCATAAATGGATAAATCGGATTTATTTCTATTAAATCAATTTTTTCTGTATATTTAATTCTTATGTATACATTTACAGTTAATTATATGAAAAGTATGTTTATTCATTAGTTGAAAATATAATAAATTAAAAATGTGTATGAGTACGAATATTTGTTTCCCACCCCCACTATTTCTCGCTTTGTAAACCTTTACTTACAATTGTCTAGTATCCTCCCCGGCTTCTGACTAGACACGCTTCGAAATCTAATCCATTTGTATTTCTGAATGTGCAATTAGAGATTTGCAACTGTATGTCACACTTAGTCAACATATATTTAGATATATCTAGCATGTTCTAGAGTTACTGACGAGAAAGTAATGCTTCGAAATCTAATCCATTTTTATTTCTGAATGTCCAATTAGATATTTGCAACTGTATGTCACACTTTGTAAACATATATTTGGACATATCTAGCATGCTCTCTGCCTTCTGATTAGACAGTAATGCTTCAAATAGAGATTTGCAACTATATATCCCACCATGTAAAACTGTCTAATCAATTGTGTGTTCGTTTAGTTTTTCGTTTTTTTTTTATTATTATTTCTCTTGTCTTCTCACTATTGTCGCAGTGGTCATTTTTTCGTCCCACCCGAAACGTTAATACCAATACAACGGGTATGGGGTGGGTACAAGGAATGGAAATGAAAGAGATTGAAAAACCAGAGTATGGAGAGAATTGAGGAGACTGTCAAAGAAGGGACAGTGTTCAAGACGGTAGAATATGGCGATTGATGTTTCATTTAAACTTTCGAAGTTTTTGTCTATCAGGGAAGTAAACAAGAATTATTCTATTAAATTCTTTAAGGTTAGAAAAGACTCAGATCACTGTCTGTAATTAGTCATTTCCAACTATACTTGACACCAAACAGATATTATCAACTATGACCCTCAGTGCCTACCTTCATAGTAATGCCTCAAATTCTAATCAAATGGTATTTCGGAACGTACATTTAGAAAGTTGAAACTATATACCCTACTACGTATACCTTTATCCAGAATTATTTATTATGCCGATCGGATTCTGACTAGACTGCAATGCTTAGGACGTTAATCTATTGGTATTTCCGAAAATACAATTAGAAATTTATGACTATATATTCCACCGACATAACGTTTATTTAATTGATGCCGTTTATTCAAACTTAAATGCAATAGAAAAAGTACTAAAGTGAAATGCGCAAATATTAAACGCACTAAGTTGGTTGTCCGAATACATTGTACTGAATAAATATCTTTAATAGATAAATAAAGTTAGATCAGAAACTTTTCACAGCGAGTCACGGACACTGTATTGCCTATACTCCGATATCTGTCTAGACATTATTACATCGAAATGGAAACGATGGGTTTTCGGCAGACGCAAACTAGATTTTCGAACGTGAAAACATCGTTGTTTCGACACAAAGTAGATTTTGGCACGGGAAATAATCGCTTTTTCGGCAGACACAACCTAGATTGTCGGACCGGAACCATCAGATTTTAGGCAATCACAAAGTAGATTTTCGGTGTGAAAACCATCGCTGTTTCAGCACACACCGACGATATTTTATCGACTGGAAAACTTGAGTATTTCTCCCACACAAACTAGATTTTCGGCCTGAAAAACCATCGCTGTTTCTGCACTCACAAGCGTGATTTTCGGACTAGAAAACTTCGGTGTTTCGACAAACACAAACTAGATATTTGGCCTGGAAAACATCGGTTTCTGCACTCACAAACGATATTTTCCCGACTAAAAAACTTCGGTGTTTCGACAAACACAAACTAGATTTTCGGCCTGGAAAATATCGCTGTTTCAGCACACACAAACTAGATTTTCGGCATGGAAAACTTGAGTGTTTCGACAAACACAAACTAGATTTTCGGACTGGAAAACTTCGCTGTTTCGACACACACAAACGAGATTTTCGGACTGGAAAACATTGCTGTTTCGACACACACACACACAAACTAGATTTTCGGTCTGCCCTTGCAGATATTCACTTATCTACCACAGTTAATTTCAACCAGTGGTGTTTTCCGTAATTCAACAGACACACAGATGCAAAGCGGCTGAATCGATTGAAATTTCTCACTTTTCCACGCAGGTATCTTTTCAAACGAATTGAAAGCCTTGGGTTAGACATTTTACTGGCTCTGTACCAAAGATTGCAGTTACGTTTGATGTGTGCACCTCGTAAATCTACATCAATGTTGTTATTTTCTTTGATAAGATTCTTTTTCCGCTTCTCAATGTCTGAAGGAATACTTTTATCCAAGAAAGCCGTTGGGTGATATGAACTTGAATTGAGTTTGTCTCTCAGTTGAGAAACTCTGGTATAAATCTAACAGTTAACGCCTGGTTGTTTCTTGAAAGGCGAATTTCATCGTGTTTGTAGGTGTTGTTTAATCTGCCAATGGAAACTAATTTGTCAGTGGAATTTTAATGTGAGATATTCTTTGCGGACATGGAAAGGAAAAAACAAGAAGCGAAATGACAAATATTTAAGACGAAAAGAAATGTAGAGAGAAAAGAAAAAGGAAATTTAGAAAATGAAAAAAAAGCAACGAAAGGAGGATCAACAGTTATGACAACAAATATATTAAGAAAGACAGGGAAAAATAATAAAGAAAATAGTTATGAATGAAAGAAAGTCAACTGAAAGAAAGATTTTTGAAAATAAAGAATTAAAGAAAGTGGGAGTAAAAGAACGAAAACAATTATGATTTGGTAAAGGAATGAAGAAGCAATATAACAATAATGGAAAGAATTATTGAGAGAAATATAAAAACTAAAGACGAAAAGATAGAACGAAAAACATGTCCGGGAAAACATCGGGATGGAGAAAGAAAGAAAAATCAATAATGAAAATATTTAAGAAAGAAAGAAAGAAAGAAAGAAAGAGAAAAAATTTAAAATGAAGAATTAATGAGAAAAAGCATGAAAAACAGTTATCACAGAATAGAGGAATAAAGAAATAAAATGCAACATTAAAGACAGAAAGAAAGAAACAAATAAAGGAAACATTCAAGGAAGAAAGAAATGCAGAAACAAATAAATAAAGACATAAAGAAAGAAAGAAAGAAAGAAAGAAAGAAAAACAAACAAAGGTAACATTAAAGAATGAAAGAAAGAGAATTGTTTTTAAAAGAAATAATTAAAGAAAGAGAGAACTAAAGAGTGAAAAATGTTATCGCAGAACAGAGGAGTAAAGGAACAAAGAAAACGTTCAAGAAAGAAAGAAAGAAATTTAACGATGACCTATTAGAAGAGGGAAAGAAAGATTTAAAAAAAGCAATGAAAAGGCAAAAAAAATAACGAAATTATGAACTATTAAGAAAAATGTAAGAACTATAGAAATTGGAACAAAAATATTTATTCACAGAACAAAGATTTGATGAAAGAAAGAAATAAAGAAAGAAAGAAAGAAAAACATTAACAATGAGTTATAGAAAGAGGGAAGGATAGAATGAAAGACAAAAACAATAATGAAAATAGATAAGATAGGAAGGCATAAAGAAAGAATGGAATTTAAGTATGAATTACAGAAAGAAGGAAAGAAAGAAAGAAATATAGTTATCATAGAACAAAGCAATGAAGAAGCAAAGAAAGAAAGAAAGAAAGAAAGAAAGAAAGAAAAAGAAAGAAAGAAAGAAAGAAAAAGCAAGAAAAAATAAAGAAATCACAATAATGAGCTATAGAAAGCGGAAATGAAAAAAAAAATGATTAAAAGCAGAATAAAGAAAATAGTTAAGAATGAAAGCGAAATGGAAAGAATGGAATTTAATAATGCACTATCGAAAGATGGAAAGAAAGAATGAAAAACGGTTATCAAAGCAATGGAGAAACAAAGAACAATAAAGAATGAAAGAATTAATAAGAAAAATCAAAGAACTAAAGAAAAAGAAAAAGAAACAATGAGAAACATTTATTATAGAAGAAGCCAAGAAAGAAATAAACCAGAAAATTTAAATTTAATTAATTTAAAGAAAATAAAGAAGTGAGTTGCAATATGAGCTATGGTAAAAATGTTTACTGGGACATTAGATTTATAAGTTCCAAAAATACATTCACTGATGACCTCAAAGAAACATGGCCCAGTGAGTAAAAGCGTTGTTAGGATCTAGTGACTTCACAGGACACTGAATTCAATAACTGACTCCGGGTATTAGAGAGTTGAGTTAAAGGGAGATAAATGAGATATGCTCTAGACTGATCAACTTCGGTGGGAAAAATAAAGGGCTCAGTTCGAAATTCCAATCACTGAAGTGGGCTGGAAACGTCGTGAATATATCAATAATGAGGACAACAGTCCTTTAGCCCCCGTTGGCTTGGTACAAGTTTAGGGTTTGCTCGGTGGTAATGAAATTTTACGGGTATTGAATGGCACCCGCCAGTCTTTTCCCCCTTGAGCTGTAAGGGTTAGGGCAGAGGAGAGATAAGCTGACAAGCACTCTCGCCATCAAGATATTTGGCGGTGCATCCATACACACTGGTATCACCTGCATCTATAGTTAGTAATTACCTGAGGGCGTTCTTGGGCAGATCATTGATATAATTCAGAAATTGTGTAGGATCGAGGAGAGAGACTGAGGGGCGGGTCAGTCTGGAAACTAAGTTTTAATGTGAGTGATTTTTTTGCTCAAAATCGTAATCAAACCCAAGCACACTCGCGACCGCACACACACACACACACACACACACACACACACACGGGCGCATAGGTTGAGATCAAAGACAAAGAACACCATTCGAAAATTCGTAAACTAAAGGAATTAGTATATATGCTAAGCCACAAAAATCTCCTGAGCCGACCAAGTATAGAAATGAATACAACATGGGAACCCGTAATAAGGAGTGTCAGAGAAAAGCAATAATAACAACAAAAAATGCAATATGAACTCTGGTAAAAACATGCAATGATAATAGCAAAACTTGCAATATGAGCACTGGTAAAAAAATGACGGATGAGACAGTAGGTTTATAATACCCAGAAATTCATACACAGATGTCCACAAGGACGCATGGCACAGTGGATAAAGGCGTTGGTTAGTGACAGGACCCAAAGTGTGAGAGTTCAATACCCTGTTAAAGCAGCGGAGAACTTGGAGAGGGGAATTAACAAGAAATAACTGGTAACTGACCTCCACTAAACATGGCACGTGGAACTAGAACAGTCTACCCCAGTGAGCGACATAAAATGTTCTGTTCGACATTCCAACCACCTGAAGAAGGTCGGAGCGTACAACGGCCGAAACGTTGTAGTAAATATGGCAACAACGATGAGGACTACTATATATATATATATATATATATATATATATATATATATATATATAATTATTGTAATATTTTTATTATAATAATAATAAATCACAATAAAAACATTTTACATAGCTAAACAAAAATTTGTACCGTCGCCTGAAGAAGTACAATCTTATTACTGAAACAGGAAAGTTTTTTGTAGTGATGTTAAATGTTTTTGTTATAATTTATCATAATAAAAATATTATATAATATTTTGCTCTACTTTGTATTGAGCACTTTTAAAAAAATAAATGTTACGATATGCGGATTTTTACTCCTTCTATTCTTTCTCTTATAAATACATATATATATGTGTGTGTGTGTGTGTGTGTGTGTGTGTGTGTGTGTGTTTACTAGACAAATATGGATGGAATAAGAAGAAAAAAGCGACAATTGTACATAAAGCAAGAATTGAGAAAATTGTACATTATTTTTTGAACAACCGAATATTTTTTTTTGCAGCTATTATATCATATTGGAACACAAAAAAATATTCTAAAATCGAACATTATTTTCCAAACAACATAACAAATACATATACGATGAAAGAGAACGACTGATAAAAACAGATAGCAATATAAAATTAAACATGAACAGTCAACTAGGAATAGACATGAAAGGAAAGTACGGACGAACAGACACGGACGTTTAAATAAAATGGCCGACACAAACTATGAAAAAGAAAGACAGTAAGAGAGACCAAAAGAGAGATATTAAAAAAGATAGAAATAGAAAGAAAGATAGACATCAATATAAATAAAAAAAAAAACATAAATGAATAGATTGAAGCAGAATAATTAACCGTAATAGAAAAAAAAGTAATATATAAGAACAGACACGTGTTATAAAAGAAATAAGAACAGACACGTGTTATAACAGATAGATAGTTAGACATGACCAAAAAATCAAGAGGAATGGGCAACCAGAAGCATTAAAACATAACATTATCTCGTCCGATAACCAAGGCTAAGCAAAGTTTAGCCTCTTCAGTAATCACATGGGTGACATATGGGGAATATACGTGAGACGCCGAGTAAGTCGTCTATTGATACAACCTCGCTACTTATAGCAACAGTAGGCATCGATTGTTTCATTTTGACTGACAGGACGCAAGAACTCCCTGGATTTGGGGGAGGTAAAGAGGACAACCAGGAAGAGATATGAACAGACATAGAGATGAGCAAGGAGAAAATCTTAAACGGAGAATAAGAGAAATAGAGGTAGGAATAGTCAACGAGAAATATCAGGTTATTCCGATTCTAGAATCAATATTTCTTCCTGAATTAATATATATATATATATATATATATATATATATATATATATATATATATATACAAGTATAGGATTGGTGTACACGGAATAAATTCCAATATCCAACAATTACTATTCTTAAAAGTGTGCTCAATACAGTGTAGAGCAAAAACAATTATTTATTTGAAAATTATAATAAAATATGTTATAAAATCAACACAAAAATTTCAGAAAAATTCACGGATTTTACTGAAAGCAACAATTGAGAACAAGTTACGCCCTTGCCGAAATAAAGCGTAATCTTCAACATTGTTCGAAGGTTTTCACGATACAGAAACCAGCATAAGAAGACCAAAAAGTAGAGTCGTCGAGGGTTTGTTATCGGAAAATCACCGCTGATAGAGATATTTTGTAATAATGATATCACTAATCCTGTAAGCCAAGAGTCAGCAACCTTTTGTTAACGATGTGCCAACTTAGGGGTTTAAAATCATTCAGTGTGCCAACAGCATGCGTATTTTTATACAAGTCAAGGTCAATATACCTGGTCTACAATATATTTTATATAGTAATATGTAGTATATATGCTTTCGTATGAAATGGACAAAGTCCGACAATTCTTTTAAGACATTTTATGTATAAACATAAAAATGTCTTAAAATAATTGTCGGACTTTGACCATTTCATAATGTGTGACGTCATTTGTTTACATTTGCATACGCATCGAGTAGATATGAATATACGTGATCATAGAAAATTGTAGTTTTAAAAACAGTAAAATCGACCTTGCTAACCGAAACGACCCTCTGTGGCTCAATCGGCAAAAGCACGTCAAGCTTCCGTATAGAATAGAGGTTCGATTCCTGTCGTAGGACGCATATTTTCTATGAAAATTTCTCGGACATTCAGACCGGTAAATGGTATTTAATACTGTTTATTATAAAACAGAGAATTTACTTAAATATTTATATCTATAAAAAAGAATATATAAACATAAAAATGTCCTAAAATACTTTAGTCTATATTAAAATTAAAACAATTTCGTTGTAGTAGCTATTGGCTCGGACTTCGTGATGTCATTTGCGGCCGCGTGCCATTGGAAATTCCTTGGCGTACAACGTGTGGTACGCGTGCCGTAGCTTACCGACCCCCTGCCCCAACCAATTCGGTTCTTAGGGTCACCACATGTACTGCAGCCGCAGCAGAAGTGTTATGGTCCCGGTTCCTTGTACCACGGTGATAGTCCAAGGTAGAACCAATAAAGAAGAACTCGAATACGGATATGGAATAACATAGATATATTCCAAACAGGAATATATACAGAAAAGTAGAAAGTGTTAGTACGAACAATCAGGTTTAGTAGTAATTGTCTGAACGCGACTCTGTTTCGTACTGCCTCTGACTCGACTGACTGACTCGCTCGCTCTGACTGACAGACAGACTCCTGACGGACCTCACTCCAGACTTCAGACTGAACTCTAGACTTCAGATGGAACAGTATTTAGTCACCACCCCACGAGAGCACCATATGGCACAAGGCCGATTTCACGTGGAATCTCTGATCCCGTGGACTCGACCAAAAATATGCCCATTGAACCCGTATAAACGGGTTCAGGATCGGTTTACCTCCCCGAAAGTAACTCCGTCCTTCGGCGTAACCTCTTTCGGGTTCCTCCCCGCCTGAAGGCAGAGAATTCAACCGATCAGCCGGTCAGCCGGTCGCCCGACTTCGGACTGAACAATATTCAGTCACCCTCCCACGAGGGCGTCATGTGGCACAAGGCCTTTTTAACGTGGGATCTCCCAGCCCGTGAGATCTCAGAGTCCGTGGGCTCGGCCAAAAATATGCCCATTGAACCCGTATAAACGGGTTCAGGGTCGGTTTACCTCCCCGAAAGAGACTCCGCCCTTCGGCGTAGCCTCGTTCGTGTTCCTCCCCGCCCGAAGGCAGAGAGTTCAACCGATCAGCCGGACAGCCGGGCGCCGGACATCAGACTGAACTCTCTGCTTCCTCTTGAGGCACAGTATTTATTACGTATGGAATAGTCCATTATGTTATTATGGGTAAGGTCCCATAACAAGCCTGGCGGAACCTAACCCTGTCGAAGCACATCGTCAACAAAATTCCGATTGAAATGAACTATAGATACACAAGTTGGCAAGTTATTCTTCCTGTGGGAGTCTAATCTGTATGAAGAGAAGGTATTTTCTAAAATAGGTCAATTGACCCACACAAAACTACTCCCCATGAAATAATATAAAGTTTAAAAATGATAAAGCTACTTTATAAAGAATCAGATATTGGAGACATTTGCAACTACCAGTCGATGTCTGTCTATCAACATATTAATGCGTCCAGTTTCTCCATATCGACTTGAGTATAAATAGACGTGTTATTAATTCTAGTGTAAATACAAACTATTTCTACTTAACAATTCAAGTTTAAACTGTACAGATATCTACTTATTGACTACTGTATAAACGCTACTTATATCTTTGTATGTTGAATTTCTAAGCGCATCTTAGATGCGACAGAAGGTCGAAAGTTGGGGCACCCATGAGGAACTGTTATCTTCCCCTCCTCTACATATAAGCGAGCCCTTAACGGAATCTTCTAGCTTGACTGATCCCCTAGTCTTGTACGGAGCAAACCTTACTGAAAATAGATATCTACCTATCAACTTAACTATAAACACGACCATAATCAATATTAAACACTTTAAAATACATTGGCGTATGAATAAGTTATATCAAATTTAGCATAGAAGAACAGGAAATTGAACTTAGAAAAGGCCGCGCCTGAGGGAGTTTCACCTAATATCGACAATTACTACTAAACCAAAAGATTAACCCAAGACTTGCGAGTCATTTTCTTAAATAGGGTTTTCAGATCGAAACTTTCATCTGGATACCATTCATGGCACCAAACCCGGTCAGAACTATCTAAACTATCAGCTGTATTCAACCGATTTCTCAGATCAATGGTTTTGAGCGATTGAAACCTGTTGGTCTTAACAAAGAGCATCTTTTTTGAATCATAAAGAGAGAACTTTTGTTGTTAGTCCTAAAGTGATGTGGTTTCTCTCATTTGGTATAAGGGAAACCACATTACCTGGTGACAACCAACATCAGCAACAATTAAAATGGGCAGTACATGTCATTCGAAAAGACAATAATGATATAAAGATAATGTTGAATATTCCATGCTACTTCAAACAAAAGGCTAGAAAGGAAACCGCCATCATTACTCGAAAGAGCAATAACAGATACTGGACTTGAAAAAGTTTCAAAGGAAGCACTATTGACTACACGGTTAATGAATTCCAAGTGTTTCCTTGTAGGGAAACGGCTAATATTACCATTAACAACCCAGTCAATCCATATCTATCTATCTATCTATCTATCTATCTATCTATCTATCTATCTATCTCAGTGTGTTCATATGAAAATGTGTGTCCTTCCTCTGTAGCTAAATGGCATAACACGTCTGGCTATATGATGGTACCGTGTTGGATACAGGTTCGATTCCTGTCAGAGGACAGATATTCTACATGAAATTTCTCGGACATTCAGGCCAATAAATGTTGTTAGGACTGTTTATAATAAACAGAGCATTTACTTACATATTGCACTCTCCCGTCGTATTCGGCGTATGAGGGTCAAGCAGCTCAGTACCTAGGATCCGACAGCCAGACACCAGCGCATATGATTTGATTATAGTGGTGAAGGATTTGTGCAGAACCAACCACACTTTTTGAAGGACCGAATACAGAGACTTGGCGCACTACGTGCCACAAGGACTCCAAATGACCCTCCACAGGTTTTGATTTCAGAGTTGTTGTTCTCCTAGACAAGATGCCATCCAAGGCTATAGAACCCAGCTTGTCCTGCGATTTACCCATTGCTGAAGGGAGAAGCGGAGGTTTAATACATTTCCCAAGGGTATTATCACGTGAGTCTAACTGGAATTTGAACTTGCTCCATATATATATATATATATATATATATAAACCAGAGTTGTCCTTCTTCTAGACCATTTGCCATCCAAGGCTATAGAACCCATAGCTGGAGGGAGAAGAAGAGGATTAATACCTTTCCCAAGGGTATTAACACACAAGGAATGTAATGGATTTACTTAAATATTTGTATCTATAAAAAATAACTTATAAATATATAAACCAATTTGCCGGACATAGCCATTTCATTATATATATATATATATATATATATATATATATATATATATATATATATATATATAAGAAATGGACAAAGTCCGACAATTTATTAATAAAGACATTTTATATTTTAACGTTCTTTTTTTTATATAGATACAAATATTTAAAGTAAATATTCTGTTTATAATAAACAGTATTAAATAACATTTACAGGCCGGTAAAATGTTATTTAATACTGTTTATTATAAACAGAACATTTACTTAAATACTTGTATCTATAAAAAAAAAAAGAGAACGTTAAACATAAAATGTCTTTTAATATATATATATATATATATATATATATATATATATATCGGTTAATGAAAGTCAAATGTTTCTATATTGGCAAACAGTTATATTCCTTTCACTATGTCTACCTAATCATTCATGTATAAACACGACTTAGGTCTAATTACGAACTTACGATTAATGTCTATATGGTGACTGATGCACAAACACAAACATAGTTTCAAAAATCAGGTTGTTTATGTTTCTGAAATTAAGAAAATAACGAGAAGCAGGATCTAACCATGCCAAAGAGCATATTTTCTTTATAAAGTTTACCCAACGGCACAGACCCGTAGACGTAATACATACAGTTTAAAATAAAAACAAGTGTTCATTAAAAATAATGTTTAAATTAATAAAAAGATGTCGGATTAAAAGTAAATCTATTGCATATTTAGGCCGCAATCCTTAATTTATGCATGTTTCATTAAAGATAACAAAGTGATGTAATTAAGATTCTTTTTTTTTTTCCTATTTTTTCTTGTGTTCGATCAAATGTTTTCTTTTCAGGACACAGAATGTTTAGAAACTCTCCAAATGTTCTGTAATTCCGAGCGCTTTCGGCTATACTTTTTGCCATTATCAAGGACGATTTTATTTTTACTTTCTAATTAGGTATATGGGTTATCTGCATGTTTCTATAGTTAAAGGGATGTTTTATTTTCCGAACAAGGTCAGCACATTGTGGCCGTGTTCGTAGTTAATATTATTGAGTGTTGGCTTTTTCTTTTTTATTATTAAGGCTTCCATTATTTTTAATCTTTTTTTTACATGTGGATGAGGTTATTATGTCCTTATTTTCTACTAGTATTTATCTGATATAGTCTGGTAAGTGTTTGTGTTTAAATGGATTCTAATGGAACTGCGTTCGTAAGGCGTCGGGATAGGCATGTAGTCGTGTGACCAATGTAATTATTTATGAATTCGGTTTCATCAGGAACACAATTTCTTTAAGGGACATTTGAACTCATAAATAATGTTCATTCGTTGTAATATTGATTTTGCTAGTGTGTTGTTATTTTTGAGGATAAGGTTAGCTGTTTTAAATTTTTATGTAGTAGATAATTACTTTGATTTTTTTATTCGTGTCAATTGGGGTAGTGTATTTCTTTATGATATTTCTAAGTGAAGAGTCATCTTTTTTGTAGTTGAGGCGCATTTGGCTTTTGTAGAAAAATATTTGTTATATATATGTATTTGTGTCTTCGTTTGATTTTACACAGATATACACGCCAAACTGTTTAGATGTGTAACTACTTGCGAACAGATACCTAGAGATGTTTACTTAGCATACTTTAGCCAGGCAGGAGAAAATACTAAGTAGGAAGATCCTGTTCTGCCATGTTTTATGCATGAAATACTTGTCTGGAACAAAAATCAGTAATGAAATTCTCGATTTTAGCTCCAGTTCACCCCCCCCCCCCAACCTGAGTCATCAAATTAAACCCCCCTTGAACAGCTTCCATCGCATGAAAGCCTGTCTAAGATCCTGCAAAATGCCAAATCGCAAGCCCTGGAGTCGATAAAAAACGCTATACAATCTTAACCCAAGAAAACGGTATCCACTTTCGGAACATATTCTGGCGATATGAACATTCACAATCACGCTGTGCACACGTTCGAAATTTGACTTTTGTATGGTTCTGGTGTGAGCTAATGGTTAATGAGCTGTGTTAGCGAGAACGACTTGAACTGGGAATCCCGTATATTGGCCTTGTGTCAAACTAAGCTAGTCTTTGTGAATAAGAACAATATTCTGATGACAATGATTTGATATAATTAAAAGAAAAACAGAGCAAGAATCTTTCCCCGGAACTTATTTCAAGGATCGACAAGCGATTTAAATGATAGAGTTAAAAATTCACCCTCTTTCTCTCTCTTTCTCTCTATCTATCTATATATCTATCTATCTATCTATATCTCTATCCCTTCCTCTCTCTCTCTCTCTCTCTCTCTCTCTCTCTCTCTCTCTCTCTTCTTTCGGAAGATCTCTATTTCTCACTTTTTCCTTTTAGATTTTACCCTCTTCTCTCTATCAAAATTGTTATTCTTTTTCTTTTTCACTCAACACTTTCAGTCTATCTATTTGTTTCTCTTTGTCACTTTCTCTCATAAAGTCTCTATTCCTCTTTTTTCTTCTTTCGCCTTTCTGTTTCCCTCTCCCTTTATCTTTATTCCTTCTTTCTCTCTCACACACACAAAATGTCTCTCTCTTTTTTCTTCCCTTTTTTCTCTTCTGCTTTGTTGCCTTTCTTTTTTATTCTCTCTTCCTCTCTCTCACTCGCACTCTCTCTCTCTCGCTCTCTCTCTCGTCATCGCTTCAAAAGTTTCATTTTCTCTTTTTTTCTCTCACTCCCTTTCTTTCTCACGCTCTTATTCAACATCTCTATTTCTGTCTTTTCACCTAGCCCCACTCTCTCTCTCTCACTGTCGCCATGTTAAGGTCCCTCTCTCCCCTCTCTCTCTCTATCTCTCTCTCTAGCATTTCTCTTTCTCTATTGCCTGTTTTGCTGAATGTCTCTCACACTTTCTCTTTCTCTCTCTCTCTCTCTCTCCCTCTCTCTTTCAATATATATATATATATATATATATATATATATATATATATACTAGGTCTCTCACTGTCGTTTTTGTGACTGAGACAATAGTGATTTTTTTTTTAACTTCGTAGCTGGAAGCGTCTACTTCTACTAAAAAAAAAAGTATGCACTCGCATCGAATTAGCTTGACGCACAAAAGCGTCATTTGTGATTGGCTGATATTTCAACTGCGGGGTCATCTGTCTCCTTCGCCCCAAGCACACCCAAGCAGTTCACGTCTCAAACGGGGCGAAGGCAACCTTCTGTTATATTGTTATATAACAAAGGACTGCGAACTTATGCAGTCAATATAAACAAATGCTCAAACCTACAAAGAAACAGCGTATTGATTTCTCTATGCATGCATGTAGATGCGGACAAGGCAAGTGAAATTGACGAGCTGAGTTCAAATTCCGGTCGATTCTATTTCGTTCAATTCGCACTAATAGCCTTGGGAAAGCCATGAATCGTTCATCTTCTAGCTGTTGGTTAAATAACTGAGCACACTTGGCCGTCAATCCAGAAGTAAAAGGAAGGAATTATCCCTACTAGTCACAAATTGGCTATATATATATATATATATATATATATATATATATATATATATAGAAGACATATTTTATGTTTAACGTTGTTATTTTTAAACATAAAATATGTCTTTAATAAATAAATTGTCGGACCTTGTCCATTTCTTAATATATATATATATATATATATATATATATATATATATATATATAGGAGTTCAGACCTGTTTTTTATCATTATTTCCTCCACATTCAAACAATAATATCGGCAAGCAAAATAATACTGGATGTCGTAGCTATCAAGAACGAATTTGGTATCTGTGTGGATGGAGGAATTCCTTTGTCTACATTCCAGCATTCTTCCGAAAACTAGAAAGATGCCCCCTCCAAAAGAATGGATTTTAACATTTTATTTTATATTTGTTATGGCCTAGACCAGCTATAATTTTTTTTTTTTTTTTTTTTGCAGTCCTAGTAAGAAAAGTCATTATCACCAGATGTATTTTTACTGCCACTGGGAAATTTGTATTTGAACTAGAAAATTCTGTTTTGGTTAAGTTTTGATTTGTTTTACTTTTTCTTACGTTCTTTTCTATTGACTGTTTTTGCAAAAGTTTTCAATTTATTACCCTCCCCATTTTTATTTTTCCTTTTATTTTGTTCTTATTATTTTATTATTATTTTTTTGATTTTTAACTACTTATTTTAATTTATTTTTTCCGTTTTGATTTTTTATAACACCCGCTGCCAGAGTTGATCTGTTTATTTTTTCTATGTGTTAATTTTTTTTTTTTCGTCCGGTTTTATTTTTCTTTTGTTGATTTTTTACTCCGTTCTTTATTTTCGTTTTAAATATCTGTTAAGTCTTCTGTTTTTTATTTATTAAAACTTCTGTGTACATATTTGTTCTAATTGTTTGTATTTATTTTGTCTAATCTGTCTGGTTTCTTTTCTTTTCTTGTTTTTTGTTTGTTATTGGTTTGACTTGTTTTTAACGACAGCCATGTTTTTTTTCTGTGATTTGTTATCTTTACGTATTTATTGTTTTGCATTTTCTTTGTGTAAAGTTTTTGTTTTAAGTGTTTTATTATTTGAAAAGTTTGATTTATCGTTTTACTATCTTGTCCGACCTTCTGCGTGTAATTTTATTTTGTTTTTGTGTCTTCACACGTGTAACTGGTTTTGTGTGTATTATTTTGTCCCCTTTAAATTTCTTTTATTATTGTGATTTATTCGTATTTATCTTTTTTGCATTTTAAATTTCTGTTTCTGTTTTTGTGAAGAGGGTCAAAATTTGGACGAAAATCCAGATTCCACAAAAAGTATGGTGTCGGCAAGTTATGAAAATTTTGTGGAAACCAAGATTCAAGACCAAAGTATGGTGGCTGAAAATGGCCCAATTTCCTCAAACCAGAATCAAATACCTGATGACAACAGAAACAAAAACGAAAGTGTAGCCTTTGCAGAGACGCTCTTTTGCAGGACGTACTCACCAAAATGTAAAATGAACATGACGGAGTTCCTGGAGATGAGTCAAGATCGACGTACATCTGGTCACAGGCTCTTGATAAATCTCGTGTAACTAAAGAAGGTTGAAAAAAGAATTGTGTCGGTCTTTGTCGTGGACAAGCGTTTGCTCAAAATTTGTCGCCCCACAAAAGACACTGTAATCAAAGCCTTGACATATCTGGGAATTAAAGCTCAGAGGTTCATCAAATGGGAAAGACTTTTTTATGTTATATATACTTTTACCCACACCTGCCGATTGTGAAGAAACAACAACAAGAGATTTAATAACTAAAGGCATCATTCTACGGTCTGCATATGAAGTCAGGCAGAGGACCAAATATCAGTATATGAGTTTCCTTCTCAGATCGTCGGGGAGCACTTGGCTGGTTATCTGTGTCCGTTTGGACAGATAATTAGTGCTTCCTTTGACTATCTGACCAAGGCATGAAGTTTCGAGATCATGATTGATAGGAAGACCTTCATCTCCATCCCCAAATGTCTGGATGTAGAGGGCCAGAGAAAACCTATAATCGTCACCTGGCGCAAACCAACATGCTAGAAGTCTAGAAAGACTGGTCACCTGTCCTCTTCCTGCACACCAAACCCCCCTTTGTTGTTTACGTCTCGCCTGTAATGAGCATGCCATCGATCGGGACCGGTAAGCCCCCAGTTGGGTTCAACACTAGCCTCCATTCCCCGAAAAACCTTTGCCCGCCGCCGTGAAATTATTTCGGGACTTTATCGACAAGTTTGATCTTGTCGATAAGTACCGGAATGAGCACCGTCGGGAGGTAGTTTGGACTTGGACAAAATAGTGGCAGCTCGGTTGCTGGGGCTATTTCTAGCTACCTCGACCGAGTCTTAGGAGAGTCGATGTAAGGCTCTTAGCGTATCCAAGTTTCCATTATATAGTTTATTCGGATCATAGAATCGTCCGAGTGCGTTTAAACTTAGATAAGCCTAAGGTTAGGACGGCTGGCTACTGGAAATTGAACTGCTCATTATTTGGTGAGCAGGATTTCCGGGACCAGTTGCTACTAATGATACAGAGGGAATTGACGGGGGTTGTGGTTTGGAAGGCCTGGTGGGATAAATTAAAATCTAAAATTAGAACGTTTGCTGCTGATTTTAGACGTCGACTCAATCTAGACAGATTAGCGGCGCAAACGACTTGTGAGCAAAAAGGAGATCGGGCAGTGAAATCCCATGATATTGGGGAAATAGCGTTAGCTAAGTCAGAATTGGCCTCCTTGCTTATCAAGAAGGATCAAGCTCTTGTAGTTAGGGCTAGGTTAAAAAGAATGTCCTCTGAGACGACGGATATGGCCGCTGAATTGCGCGCATAGAAGTCTCGGAATGCGTCTCGGCGACATATCCCGTTTGTTACATTGCCGAGTAAGCGGACCGTAACTGCAAACGCGGGCATATGTGAGACTTTTCGTGATTACTCTGAGGAACATTTCACCAGGGAGCCCGGTCTGAGCCCTGCTCAGTTCGACGCCTATTTAGCCGACTTTCACTGCCTTGAGGTAGCTGAAGTGACTGGGTGAGAGGGTCTCATCCCAGAGTCGGAAATTTGGGAAGCGCTGAAACAGGTTGTCCTAGATAAATCTCCAGGATTAGATCGTCTTCCCTACGAAGTTTACTTGAGGCAGTCGCCCGTTTTTGTTCCTTTGCTGGAACTGATTTACAACAACTGGATGGAGTAGGGGTCTATACCTCAACGCTTCACCAGGGGTGGGATCAAGTTGCTGCGCAAGGACAAGAACGGTTAAAAACAGAGTTAAGGATTTTGGCGAAGATCTTAGCCAAACGTTTGCAGGCTGTCCTGTCTAGTTTGATTGGCCCCGAAAAGACATGCTGTGTAGGTTAGGACTATTCAGAACAACCTTCATATGGTACACTTGATCATCGAGCAAGTCGACAGTGAAACCACGCTGATCAATTTAGATCAGTCCAAGGTCTTCTGTATGGTTGACCATCGGCTCCTGGAGGCTGTCCTTTCAGCGGCCGATTTCGGGCCGTACTCTCGCACCTGGACCCGACTTCTGTATGCGACTCCCGGTGCGCTGATAGAGGTAAATGAGGTACGATCGGATCCTTTCATGTTGTCTCACTCCATTCGCCAAGGTTGCCCGCTTTCGCCTATGGTTTACATTCTTGCGTTGGAAGACGAATGCGGCCCTATGCGAAATTTCCCTACATCGGCCAGGTATTCCACCTATGCTGATGATATTTCGGTTCTTGTGTCGAGCAGTGACGAGATTGACGAAGTCAACAAAGAAATCAATGGTTATGAGATGGTGACAGGGGTCAAGATCAACCGCGATAAGTTTGTTGGCTTGCGGTTTGTTAAGTTGAAGGGAGTTTCTCTTCCCGGACCTTTCCTCTGGACGGATGGGCCGATCAAGATACTCGGCGTCTGGTTCGGTCCTGATATCCAGTTGGGAATTCATTAGTCGGAGGTCCAAAGAAAGGCATTATATCACGTGTTAGTCAGGGAGTCCGTCCGTGATGAGCTGATTGGCGAGGTCTTACGAAGCAATAGGCTCGCTCAATATGACCTTGAGAGCCAGGGTTGAAATACCTCAATAACGATGAGGCATACTTACCTGGCTGGTGATTCGTGGGGCCCTCTTGGTGGCCAAAGAATTTATTCAGTGGGCATGGAGAAATCTCCAAACTGCCTTCTTTCATTGCAGCATGGTAGCGCCGTTGTGCAAGGTTGTTGAAGGCCTCATGGTTTGTCCTTGAAGCCTGTTTGTAGCAATGTGGCACCGCCGTTGACGAAGGCTGAACGATATGTGTTCGTTTGCTTGCTAGGTTTTATGAGATTCGTAATTTGGACGACACATCAGAAGGAATTA